GGCTGGAGTGCAGTGGCATGATCTTGTCTCATTGCAACTTCCACTTCCAGGGTTCAAGCTATTCTCCTGCCTCAGCCTTCTGAGTAGCTAGGACTATAGGCACACGCCACCATGCCTGGCTTATTTTTGTATTTTCAGTAGAGGTGCAGTTTCACTATATTAGTCAGGCTGGTCTTGAACTTCTGACCTCATGATCCACCCCCCTTGGCCTCCCAAAGTGCTTGGATTACAGGTTTGAGCCACCATGCCCGGCCCTTGGCTACTTTTAAAAAATAGAAATAATATCCTAATCTACACAATATTTTCTATTGTTTTTAATATGTCCTGGAGAGCTTTCTTATTAGGATGTATAGATATGCCTTATTCTTTTTTAGAGCTAATTATATTCAGTATATAAATACACTGTTATTTATTTGATGCTCACTTATGTTGGATCCATAAATTCTGACTTTAAAGTAAAATTTTAAATTTCTCTTTGGAACTGCTAATTAACAGTAGCAGGTGAAGCAGTTTTAGGGCAGGTTTCATCCCTCCACCCTGTCCTCTGTGCCCGTCCACTGGCATTGCTGGACTTCGGTAGCACGTCCTGCAGTACAAACCAAATTGATTTGTTGGAAGTGCCCTTCTTTGAAAATTGCAGAAATCCTTTTCCTGATCCGACATCAAGGCCAAATGACTTCCCTTGCAGACATACGGCTATGAGCACATATTGACCTTACATAACCTGGAGAAGGCTGGCCTGCTGAAACCACAGACGGGGGGCAGAAACAATTACCCGACTATTCGGAAAACATTACGCCTCTGGATGGATGATGTCAATGAGCAGGTATGCCACACTTACCTCATCTCAGCTTAGTGACTGGTTAGATCATCCACATGACAACATATGCTTCTGAACCTACACATCTGCCTTGCTTTCTAAAAACAGTGTTCTAATGTTTTTGAAAAAGTAGTGTATTCATGTATGGTATCTATCAGAATCCCAGTAGGAAACAGAGAATACATTTAAACCGGGGAGTTTATCTAGAGAGTTTAATAAAGATATGGGCCAGGCACAGTGGCTCACGCCTATAATCCCAGCACTTCGGGAGGCTGAGGTGGGTGGATGACTTGAGCTGAGGAGTTTGAGACCAGCCTGGCCAACGTGGTGAAACGCCATCTCTACTATACATACAAAAATTAGCTGGGCGTTGTGGTGCACACCTGTAACCACAGCTACTTGAGGGGGTGAGGCAGGAGAATCGCTTGAACCCAGGAGGTGGAGGCTGCAGTGAGCTCAGATTGCTCTACTGCAATCCAGCCTGGACAACAGAGCAAGACTCTCTCTCAAAAAAAAAAAAAAAAAGATATGGGGTCAGGTGCAGTGGCTCATGCCAGTAACCCCAGTATATTGGGAGGCTGAAGCATACAGATTGCTTGAGTCCAGTAGTTTGAGACCAGCCTGGGCAACATGGCAAAACCCTGGCTCTACAAAAAAAAAAAGCTAATGGTGGCACGACTCTTTAGACTGGGAGCCTGTGGTTGGAGGACCACTGAGCCTGGGAGGCAGCTAAAGTGAATCATGTTTGCACCACTGCACTCCAGCCTGGGCGACAGAGTGAAACCCTGTCTCAAATAAAGGTGTGGCAAGAGTGGACACCAGTAAGAGGCAGTGCAGGGGGGAGTCAGTGCCAGCCAAGGCCTGAAGGGCAAGGAGAGGGGGCTATTCTAGAAACTCATCTTGGAACCTGGAGCGAAGAGCTGTGGTGGGGCCATCTGATGAGGTAAGGGGTGAGGGGCCTCTCGCTGAAGGTATGGTCGACCTCCAGCAGAGGAAGCCGGCCATGACAACCTTGTCCTCACATTACCGCCCACTCTCCAGTCCACTCTGAGGCTTTGCATTGTTCAGACCCAAAGAGAAGGCATTGGAGAGTGTTGGTGTCAGACCTACAGGCCCATCTCTGGGCATAGAGCATTGCAGACAAGGGTGGAAAGGAGTTGGGAGATGTCCAGCACTCGTAAACAAACCAGCCATGGCTGGGCACAGTGGCTCACACCTGTAATCCCAGCACTTTGGGAGGCCAAGGCAGGAGGGTCACTTGAAGTCAGGAGTTTGAGACCAGCCTGGCCAACATGGTGAAACCCTGTCTCTACCAAAAAAGACAAAAGTGATCCTCCAAAAAATGCAAAAAAATACAGATGGTGAAGCATGTGATTGTAGTCCCCGCTACTGTACTCGGGAGGTTACGGTGGGAGGATCGCTTGAGCCTGGGAGGTAGATGCTGCAGTGAGCTGAGACTGCACCGCTACACTCCAGCATGGGCAACAGAATGAGACCCTGTCTCAAAGTTTAAAAAGGCTATGCAGAAGCAGGGCCGTCAGGGTCAAGTGAGTTTCCTTCCACAGTTTCCCCTGAGAGGCAGCCACTATGGCCAGCTTTTTATCTATCTTTCCAGAAAGATTCTATGCATATACAAACATTTTTACACAAAGTGCATATTCTTTACTGTTGGTCTCCAACGTGGGGTGCACTTTGCTTTACATTTATTATTTATTCTAATGTTTCTAAATTTCAGTCTTTTTTGGTTTTTCATAAGGGACTTCATTAGGCTGCCTCTTGCAACAAAAGCTCGTAACTAGACACTCTCCTCTGTCAGGAGCAAAATTGGATGATTTTTTTTCCCAGTGGGAAAATAGAGATCCCTAATGTATATCATGTACATATTAGTTCAGCTGTCTTCACTGTCCTGACCTTTCTGTCTCTGGTCTCACCCACCACTTAACAAAAGGATCTTGCAGAGTCTTCTGTGGTCTTCCCCTTCTTTTTAATTTTTCTAAATTGCTACATAGTGGTTTTGAGGCCATACCTTATTTAACAGATTCCAGTTGATAGAAATTCTGGTTGTTTCCAGTCTTTGCTATTACATGCAGTGTTGCAGTAAATATGTTTATACTTTGGTCTATTATCTTTCGTTCTGCAAGCAACTCTGTAGGATTAATGCCTAAAAGTAGAATAGCTAAGTTCAAATGTAATTGCACATCATTGCTTAGCTAGGGAGTGCCAAGTTCCACCCACACAAGAAGTCTCCTGCTGGCTGGACATGGTGGCTCGCACCTGTAATCCCAACACATTGGGAGGCCAAGGCGGGTGGATCACCTGAGGTCAAGACCAGCCTGGCCAACATGGTGAAACCCCATCTCTACTAAAAATACAAAAAATTAGCCAGTAGTGGTGGTGCACACCTGTGATCCCAGCTACTTGGGAGGCTGAGGCAGGAGAATTGCTTAAACTTGGGAGGCCAAGGTTGCAGTGAGCTGAGATTGCACCACTGCACTCCAGCGTGGGTGAGAGAGCCAGACTCTGTCTCAAAAAAAAAAAGAAGTTTCATGTCAGACCAAGTAACAGTTTTTCATCTGTACCTAGAGCCGCTTTGAGTGGCTTTTTGAGATTTGAGTCAAAAGTGAAGCTCTGGCTGCTAAAATTGAGCCCCGCTGGGCTGGATTAGAACAGGGCATGGCAGGGGTGGCAGCTGTATATCTGTCCTTAAATCCAAATCAAATAATTGTGGATTACCCAAAAGGCCACAGTCAGGGAGCTCTAAGACTCTGTATCAACAGGCTTTTGTTCTTTAAATCTCACAGAACCCCACGGACATATCCTATGTGTACAGTGGCTATGCCCCACTCAGCGTGCGGCTGGCTCAGCTGCTCTCCCGGCCTGGCTGGCGGAGCATCGAGGAGGTCCTCCGCATCCTCCCAGGGCCCCACTTTGAGGAGAGGCAGCCACTGCCCACAGGACTGCAGAAGAAACGTAAGTCCCAGTCCAGCATCTACAGATAATTATGTACTGTCAGTGTGGTTTTCAGGTATTGTACAGTTGGCTTTGTAAAATACTTGGTAAAGCACATAGGAGTCAGAATTAAATATACCTCTTTTGTTCGTTGCTATTGTATATAGTAAGCACTAGGATCAGATTATTCCCTGAGGGGTAACAGCTTTCAGTCTCTGTGTTGAGAATCTCAGGAGTTAGAAAACACATTGAGATTAAAATCAGTGTTCCTGGGTTTCAAATGAACTGTCTGGATGAAGACTCTTGTTTATTATGAATGATAAAATGTCTGACGGGGTAGGAAGAGAAGCACCACTAATAAATAGTTTTTTAATTCTGAAATGTTTACATTTTAGGTCAACCGGGAGAAAACCGAGTCACTCTGGTGTTTTTCCTCGGGGGCGTAACCTTTGCTGAAATTGCTGCCCTGCGATTTCTTTCCCAATTGGAAGATGGAGGTACAGAATATGTCATTGCCACCACTAAACTAATGAATGGAACCAGTTGGATAGAGGCTCTGATGGAAAAACCATTCTAGGGTGTTCAGAAGAGACCTAACAAGTGTACTGCAGAGTAAACTGCCTCATTGAAGAAGTTGCTGAAAGGAAGTAAAACCCCATAGAAGAAACATGGGGTTACAGAATATAACCTGGGGTCAGCTTCTTAAATTATACTCCTGTTTACTCCTTTCTTCTTCTCTTTTGTATTTCTTTTCTTTTGTGGTGGGGGGATGGAGTTTTGCTCTGTCACCCAGGCTGGAATGCAGTGGCGTGATCTCAACTCACTGCAACCTCCGCCTCCTGGGTTCAAGTGATTCTCCTGCCTCAGCCTCCTGAGTAGCTGGTACTACAGGCATGTGACACCACGCCTGACTAATTTTTCTATTTTTAGTAGAGATGGTGTTTCACCATGTTGGCTAGGCTGGTCCCGAACTCTTGACCTCAGGTGATCCACCTGCCTCATCCTCCCACAATACTGGGATTACAGGTGTGAGCCACCATGTCTGGCCTCTAATCTTCTGAAGAAAGAAGAATAGAAAAGAATCAGCCTGAGTGAAAGAAGCACTGGTTTTGAGGTTTCTAAGCTCAGGGTCTTCATTAGAGACCTCTGGAAATACGTTAAGGATTGTGGGGGTAGATAATCCATTCAGCCACACAAATGGGGCCAGCTCTTAAAGCTGAGACTAAGGAGGTAAAACTGGAAATAAAAAGAAGAAGTCCATCCCTAATCTCCAGCGCTGTATTTCTTCAAGGCACATCTGGCCTAGGACAGTGATTAAGTGTTAGGAGCTGGAGATCATTTTATCACTGAGTTGAGATTTCTTTTTCCTGCAAGTATGGGAGATTATATTTAGGGTCACCAGTTCCTGTCTTAACTGATCACTAAGGCAGCTTTGCTTCCTTCTTACAAAGCAAGAGGTTTGGGGGAGCTTCTTGGCCAGCAACAAAGTTTATGCTCTGTGGGATCAGCTACATCTCTCTAGGTTCCATACTTATCAGGGGCTTTTGACATGAAAGAATGTGATAATTGGGGAGCAGCCTTCTGAGAATTCAGCTTTGAAAGAATTCAAAGACACTTTCTGGTTTTTTGTTTTTGTCTTGAGACAGCGTCTCGCTCTGTCACCCAGGCCAGATGGAGTGTAGTGGCATGATCTCGGCTCACTGCACCCTCCATCTCCCAGGTTCAAGTGATTCTCCTGCCTCAGCCTCCTGAGAAGCTGGGATTACAGGTGTGCACCACCATGCCTGGCTAATTTTTGTATTTTTAGTAGAGATGGGGTTTCACCATGTTGGTCAGGCTGATCTTGAACTCCTGACCTCAAGTGATCCACCCACCTCAGCCTCCCAAAGTGCTCAGATTACAGGCATGAGCCTCCGTGCCCAGCTTCAAAGACACCTCCTTAGCACACACATTATTAACTCCAGACACAGCAGTGGTGGACGCCTCCATTGTGGTTTTCATTTTCTCTTCTGTAATCATGGGCCCACCATGCAGCTGATCCCACACTGAGCAGGGGCAGCTCTTGCCTCTTCAGCCTCTGGCCACTTCATCTCCATGGTAACTGCCACATGTACTTTTCTAGTAGTCTGTGACCACTCCATACCCAGCTGAAAACACTCTGTTTCAGCCCCCTCTCCGGTGAACTCAGCCTTCTCCGGTTGTATCTCTTGATGATCTTGGAGACCAGCAGTCACAGCTGCTGCTACTCATGCAGGAGACTGTCAGGCTGTGGTGGAGAGTAGGGGTGTTGGAGGAGAAGTTGGAAATCCATGTGTTCCCTGCCTCTAAGCTGCTCCATCTCAGCTTCTAGAGGAGTTGAGGCACCAAGAATGGCACTAAGGTTGGTCACTTCGCTGCCCTTGCCCAAGCCTCCAACAAAATTAGCTGGTCCCCTGCTCTGCTGGATCTCAGCCAGCTGTGGTTTTGGTTGTTACTTAGTAACCACACATTGTTTTTCCTCACTTTTTTCATTAGTGGAGTGTTGTTGTTTGTTTGTTTTTTCGAGACAGAATCATGCGCTTGCCCAGGCTAGAGTGCAGTGGTGCGATCTCGGCTCACTGCAACCTCCACCTTCTGGGTTCAAACAATTCTCGTGCCTCAGCCTCCCATGTAGCTTGGATTATAGACGTGTGCCACCACACCCGGCTAATTTTTTGTACTTTTAGTAGAGATGGGTTTTTCACCATGGCTGGTCTCAAACTCCTGACCTCAAGTGATCCACCCGCCTCAGCTTCCCAAAGTGCTGGGAGTACAGGCATGAGCCACCGTACCCGGACCTTTAGTGGAGTTCTGATGGGCATGGTAAATGTTATTAATGAAAGAGAAATTCTGTATACTTTAAAAAAATCTCTTTAGTAAAAGAATGAAGGGTGTCAGAGATAATATTTGAAAGATTTGTTTCTCATGGAACTAATTTGGCCTTGACATTCAGTATTTGGGAAATGTCTTTAAGAAAACCATTCTTGTTGTAGAAAATCCTTTTTCAAATGCTTGTTATCCCAGGGAGATTAGTTTATACCTTCCACCTCAGGCCGTCATCAGCTGCTTTAGAGAATGAAATCTACCCTGCCCCTCTATGTTTTGGCTCCTGGGGCTCAATTCAGGTCTGTTCAAGTCTCCCTGGCTGGGGATTCTGTCCTGTGAACAGATACTCAGTTGTAGTGTCATGTGTCTGCATTCACTCATGCTTGCTTGCTCAGAACATAGCTAGGTCAGCTCTTAAAAATGCATTCAGCAGAAGACTTTAAAACATCAATTGCTTCATTTGTATCCAAATAGAAAGTGGCAGATAATTATATATCGTACGCCTTTGTGTAAGTTCATTTAATACTTGAAGCAGTCTTTGTCGCAAAAGAGTGTGCCCTTACGGAGAAAGGATATGTGAACTGTACATTTATTGTTGGAGAGAGTGGATTGTTTACATCATGTCTGCACTTTTGTCTAGTTGGGTAGACAGTTCTACACCAGCAGCCCCCAACTAAAGAAGTCTACATAGACACTGTTTTGTGTCTTGCTACACAGTGTTGAATTCTAGCCAACAGAGAATTAAGTATTTGTTAATTGTGGAGCAAAAGAGTAATGGTGAAAGAGGGATGATTTCAAACAGCACATGTAATTTTCAGAGAAAGCTGGGACAGTCTCATTGTGAGTTTTTTTTTTTTTTTTTTTTTTTTTTTTTTTTTTTTTTTTTTTTTTTTTTTTTTTTT